CTGAGCCGTGGGCTCACAGAGCAGAGCTGGGTGGGGGAGGAGGCCCTACCTGCAAGTCCACAATCCCAGCCCATCCGGGGACCTAGACTGCGGCCCTCTGAGCCCCACAGATCCTTGGGTTTTGAGACGAGAGGGGCGAAGGTACATCGCTCCCGTAGACATAGTTCTGATTTCCATACAGCCCCAATTTGGAAAAGCCCTGCCCAAAAGGAGGGGATTTTGGTGACATTAGGTGATGGGAGGGAGGTTAAGAAATCCTATGGGAGAGGAGATCCCAGGGGACGCTCCTTAGACATTCCTGGAAGAGAGTGTCCAGTTTGGCCCGCCCGGAAAAATCCCCACACTCACTCAGCCACATAGTTTAGAGACGCACAGTACAAACCCTTTGGCACCCAGATCCTCTCCAGACTTTGACACCGCGGGGAGTGCATGTTTACACAGACACACACCCTCGCTCTCGCGGAGTCCGGATTCTGCTCTCGGAGATACTCCAGCCATTTCTACATAGGGCCCTCTGTCAACCTGGGCAGAGGTGTTACCCAAACAGCCTGCGCTAAACTTGTGGCTCTCCAGGGAAGCCTCAGGATACTCAGCTGGGAATGGCGGGACATCATCTCTTGGGGTCCTTCAGGAGCGACCTCTGGCCCTAGATTCTCACGTGAGCTATTTTGAGGGATCTCGCTTAGACGACCTCTTTTCCAGCCCACGGACCCGAAACAAACGTGACAGGAGGGCCTGAGGTCCTGTACCACGAGTGGAGGCCCCATTCGTGTGAGTAGCCCCCCTTCTGGGAGGGAGGGGACCCTGTAGAGGCGTGTGCGCTCTCGCTCAAGAACTCCGGAAGTGTCCCGGTGCGGCCCCGCAGCTGCACCAAGCCTGTTGCGAGAGCGGAGTCGCCGCGTCTCCGAGGCCCACGCTCCGCCCCCTCCCGCACCTCCTGACCCCCCCGCCCACACACGGAGCGGGGGGGGGGTCTCCGAGAACGCCCACAGCTTTTGATTGGCTGCGCCTCCTCAGCCTCTGCGCTCGAGAGGCTGGGGCGCAGTGTTACCATAGTAACCGATGAGGTTCGCCCAGATCGCGTCTCTCTGAGGCCTTGAAGAGCTTAGCAACCGCGCCCGGCCGCTGGGCGGGCGGGGGACGCATTTGCCGACCCCCGCACAGTTTTCTGCCGCGGCTCCCAGGCCCCCGCCAGAAGCAGTGGCTGAGTCACCCAGCTAGGGGCTACTGGCGCAGCCACTGGCGGTTCCCGACAGACACCAAGGTCTCGGGCGCCCCCCAGAGGCTCCCTTCCTTCCGCAGGCGGTTTGATGGCTTTCGTGCCCGCTGGCGGCTCTGGGTCCCCGGGAATCCACCTGATGCCCGCCCCGTCCTGAGTCTGCCCCTCACCCTGTTTCCGCCCGGTGTTCTGGGTCCCTCTAATCCCCTCTCTCTGCTCCGTCTCCCCGCGCTGACTTCCCTTGGGAAGTAGTGAGATGCCAAGGATGAAAACAGTAGGTTCCGGAGCTCCCGGCCTACGGGAGATGGACTCAGACACCTCGACCGAGGAACCTGCTGTGGGCTGAGGTGGAAGATTGTTTGGAGTGTTGGAGATAGGCGGGAAGGCTCCTCAGAATACGTGCTCGTAACGCTGGGCTTTGACGGAAGACTAGGAGTTCTCCTACCAGGCAGAAAGGTATTCCTGGAGAAGGGAACATCTGGGACAAGGACTAGGAATGGGGCACTCCAGGAGGCCAGGGCCTCCCCGCCCTCATCTCTGCTTTCATCTCAGCAAGGAGCCCCCTCATCGCTCTGGGACTTTGTGCAGTGGATGGAACCTCTCCACCGCGGACCCACCCCAGGGTCCGTAGTCCCCACCTTTTTAACCCTCCCCTGGTCAGAGTACTCTAACTCACTGCCCCTGGCCCCGGCCTCAGGCTGTCATTGCACCTGTATGGGAGGGTCTCACAGCGCTGCCCCAGGCGAACGGTAGCTTCAATGCCCTCTTGTCCTGTGGCTTCACTCTTCCACAGTCTCCCTCCATTCCCTCCCACCCAGGTCCGCCTGCTCTTAGCCTGACTAGAACCCGCTGCCCCCCACACACACCCCGCTCTAGTCCGTCCTTCTCTCTGAATACACTCCTCCCAATTTTAGAGCCTTCCTCTAGTGATGGAGGGAGGCTGGGCCAGGACTTTTCACTGCCCCCACCCCCTCCAGAGGAGGCTCTGCCCCACATGGCATGGGCCTTTCCTGCCAAAAATGACCTCCAAGAACTCTCGGCCAGGAAGTGATCTCTGCCTCTCGATCCCCTGAGACCCCTTTTTATCAACGCTCCTCAACTTCTCTGACATCCCTCAAGCGGCAGCTGCTACCTGGTACCCCAGGTGGACATCCCCTCCTAGTTTCAACCTCCTCCGCCAAAACTCTTCACGACCCCCCACCTCTCCGCAAACACAGCCCAACTTCCTCTCATGTCCCTCCCCGCCCCCCAGGATGCGAGGGTGACGGCACCGCAGTGGTCTCGCAGGGCGTTACGCCACCGCAGGGCATCCTGTGATGTCACAGAGCAGTGGGGTCCAGGAATGGAGGAATGGGGGGGTAGGGACTACCGGTGAGGACCCCGGAAGGCCAAGCAGGGTCAGTGGGCTATGCCCCAGAGCGCTAGGAGCGAAGAGTGAATAAACGCGTAGCATAACCGCCTGCCTCCTCCCGGCTCTGTACTCCCAGGGACCCCCCAGCCCTCAGTTCCGGAAAATTAACCCCTTGCAGGCCCGGGCAGGGGGCGCCGGCTTCCCTTCCCCATTCGTGCTTCCGCGCGCTCTCCTCCCCTCCCTGCTGCCGGTGGCCTCAGTCCCCACCCCCCGCCTCGCCACTATAAATAGCCCCTCTTCCCGTTTCCTAAATTCCCTGCTGACGTCTGCAGCGCGTCAGTGTGTAGGAGCTGCGGCCGCATGAATGAGCCGCCGCACGAGTACTACGCGCGCCTATAAAAGCGGCAGCGCCGGCTTGGCTACCGGAGGCGAGCGGGCGCGGCGCGGCCGCCAGGTAAGCAGGACGGATGGACCGACGGACGGCAGATGGATCGACGCACAGACAGGGACGGGAGGGCAGGGGGGAAACCGGAGGGCGGCAGGTTGGAGGGCCCCCTCGGGGGGTGGAGACGGGGTGGGGGGCGAGGGTCCCCTTGCAGCCAGGGGAGCGGTGGCCGGATGCGGCCTGACAGGACCCTTCCCCACACCCGGGCCGGAGGCGGACACAGGACCCTGTCCGCACCTGCCCGCGCCCGGATGGAGACGCAGCCACGTCGGAGGAGCATGGAGCAGAGGACCGACTCCAGAGTGCCCGCGGCTTTTTCTGAGCTCCTGCGCCATTCTGCCTAGAAAGTGGGGCGAGGGTGCTGGCTCCCCAGGAGACGCGTCCCCCTTCTGCCCCTCCCAGCAGCGCGGTGACTCAGCCTCACTGCCCCTCCGCGGGCTGAGTGGTGGCGCCAGCGAGGGGCAGACGCCCTCCTGCCCGCTGCCCGCTGCCTCGGCCATGGTTCTCTGGAACCCCTGCTCGCATTCAGTCGGAGCGACCCCTCCCGGGCCAGTGCTGTCAAGCTCCTCCGGCTGCGCCCCCGACTTCCCGCCTGTGCGCGTGGAGCTGTCCTCTCAGGACCAGGCGGGGCCTCTGCTGGACCGCCCAGCCCCGCCCCCACCGTCACCCCCCCCATGCCGCCGGAAGTGACTCCCCACAGGGACAGTTTTGACGTCACGGGGCTCTGACGTCAGGGGCCACGTGCCAGCCCACGAACTCCGGGGCCGACAGGGGCGGGGGAGGAGGAGCAGCAGCGCCCCCAGCCGCGGGCAGTGGGAGCACCCCGGCCCGGGCAGTGCGCCGGCACCTTGGCTCTAGACTGCTTACTTCCCGGGCCGCCCTCAGTAACAGTCTCCAGTCACGGCCACCGACGCCTGGCCTCGCCCCAGGACCACGGACAGGGCTGTCCGCCGCGCCCACGGGCCCCCCTGTCCCCCGGGATCCCGCAGCCCCGCGCTCGCTGCCTCCGCCGCCGCTGTCCGCGGTGCTGATCCAGCGCTGGCGGCGCCACTGGACACTCTGCGACCCCGGTCCCCAGGGGCTGCGAGGGGCGGCCGGACCACAAGCACACTCGCACAGCCCTCGAGCCCCCGCCGAGCGTGCCGCCCCCACCCGCGCTTGCAACCCCGCCACCCACCCCTGCGGCCCTGACGTCAGCCAGTCCTGAGCCGCCGCGGTGCCGTCAGCGGCGCGCGCCCCGCCCCTGCGTCTCCAGGGCAACCGTGGCTTTCGATTGTTACTGTGGGAACCAGAGGTAACAGTCTACAGCCATGGTCGTCCCGCAGCACGCGCCGCTCCACGCCGCGCCCCGCCAACCGAGGTGGGAACACAGGGAGCCGGAGGAGGCGGAGGCAGGAGCCAGTCTCAAACGTGTCGGCGTAGGTGGTGGGGGTGTGCGGCAGGGAGGTGAGCCCTCGGGGGTCCGCTGCAGTGCATCCACGGAGGCAGAGAAGCACTGCCTGCCCGCCGCAGTGGCTGTCCTGGCCTCTCAGTCGAGGTATCAAGGCCGGGGCATGGAGAGAGAAGGGATAGTTTGGGGACTTAGGCTCTTTTAATCTCTGTGGGAGGGAGGTTGCTGGGACCAAGAGGCATTGGACAACGTTCTGTTCGCGTCCCGGGGACTGAAGGCAGTAAACAGAAGGCAGGTTTTTCTAAATACGCCACACTATCATTCTTCCAGGAACCCCTAGCTGAGTAGACTGGGCGAAGAGTAAACACTTCAGTTCATTTCTTGGTGGAGTCACAGCTTTCCCTGACCCTCACCACCACCCATTTCTCCTTCCGAACCAGAGAGGGTATGTAGGGTCGCCAGCACTCAGGAAACTGATGAGCCTTTGAAGTTAATCCTGTTCCTAATGCTTTATGAGAAGAAATCAGTATCTTCAGTCTGTCTCTAGGTGCTGCGCTCCAATTTGAGACTTTTTCAAATTAGCCCTGAAGAAGGAAAGTGAGTATCAGAGGCTGAAGTCCTGTCCTGCCAGTCAAGTGTGGGCAATGACCTCTTCAACACTGTGGATGTCACCACCATCACCCACTGCAGGGGATAACTTTTGGAGATTGGATTTCAATATCCTTGTGAATAGTGGCTGAGTTCTGGTGGTGCTGTGCTTAAAGCATTCGGCTGCTAACTGAAATGTTGGGAGTTCAAATCCACCAGCTGCTGGGCGGGAGAAAGATGAGGCGGTCTGCTTCCATAAACATATACGGCCTCAGGATCCCTATGGGGCAGTTCTACTGTATCCTGTAGGGTCACTATGAGTCAGAATTGACTTGATGGCAGTGAGTATAAATAATGGTGAGAATGGTTCCATGCAACCCAGTCTGCGTCCCCAACTTTTCCTTACCCCTCCTTTTCTAAATTAACTACTCCTAAAACGGTAAGGAGCTCTGGTGGTGTAGCACCTAAGGCATATGACTGCTAACCAGAAGGTTGGCGGTTCAAACCCACCAGCCACTTCTCAGAAGGAAGACTGGGCAATCTACTTGTGTAGAAATCTACCTCAGAAATCCAAAGGGGGTCACTATGAGTTGGAATCAACTTGATGGCAATCAGTTGTTTTCTTTAAGACGAGGCCGCTTTTATGATCACCCAACTCCCACAACACCCCCTCACAGAAACCCTGAGGTCTTAACCAGAGTAAGATGCAGTTGCTTCTGACCTCCAGTGGACATCTGTGGACTGACTGTTGTGTGTGCAGGTGGGCACAGTGCACTGGGAAGCAGGAGGTCCAACGTGGCTCCACCATCAACTGGCTGTCATTTAAGGAGCCAGGTTCTATATTGGAGCCTTCTGTAAAACAAGATTACCACCCTTCCTCCACCTTCCTGAAGGGTGTGTTGTGAAGATCAAATAGGATCATGTAAGTAAAAACCTTTGAAAACCAAAAAAAATGTTGTTCTGATTTTAAGAAGTCCATCATACATTTGTTAAGGGGTGGTGATTTGGGGCAGAGATGCCAGCTGTGGGCACTTACACAGAACCAACAGGGGAGTGAGGAGCATACCCCCCATAGCAGACACTCTGCGACAGGGAATACTGAGGGTCCTTTGCTCAGGGGGAGTCTGTGGATGGTGCTTAGCTGTTAACCAAAGGGCTGGCCGCTTGAGTCCACCCAGGAGCACATTGGAAGAAAGGCCTGGTGATCTACTCCTGAAAAGTCAGCCACTGAAAGCCCTAAGGAACATAGTTCTACTCCAACACAAAGCGGGGGGGGGCGGGGCGCGGAATGTCATTGTTTTGGTTTTTGCTGAGGGACCCCACTCCCCCAAGATGGAATGAGAAGTGAAAATGAGAAACACTAGGGATATTCTGAAGAGAATGAATCTTTTGCAATTTGAACCCATCTGGAGGTGGCAGCTAGAGGTCAACCAACCAGTTATTTAGTGTCTTGGTAGCACAGTGCCTAAGGCATTTGACTGCTAACCAGAAGGCTGGCGGTTCAAACCCACTGGCCGCTTCTTGGAAGGAAAGTTGGGCAATCAACTTAAGTAGTGATACTGCCTCAGAAACCCAAGGAGGGGTCACTAATGGCAGGGAGTTTGTTTTTTTGTTTTGGAAACCATTTAGTAGACTCCCCTAACCCATTGTATGAAGTGTGGATTATGAAGGTGAGGGCGTCGTGTTCTCTGCTCATCGTCCACAGTGTGGTGGAGAAACAACCTGAGCTCTTAGGTCTCAGTCCATCCGTGGGCCAAGTTATCCAGCCTCTTCGTGCCCATTTTCTGTTGTTAAAGGAAGTTACTAGTAACACCTACCTCATGAAGTTGTGAGATTAAATAAGGCCACACCAAAGCTTCTGAGTACCACAAGGTCTAGCATTGTGTCATTATACACATTACTATTTCTACCCTCTGGAGCTCATTTTCTCACCTATAAATGGAAAACTTTAGACCAGTAATTCTTGACTGGGGCTTCCTCCCACTCCTGAGGGGTGCATGAGAACATGTGGGCCTTTATTTAAAAATTTTTAGAAATACTCTCCAGGAACTTTTATTCTACCTCCAAGACAGTGCTTTTCGAAGCACTACCTTGCTTGAGAATGAGTATTTTGCCAAAATGCAGATTCCTGGGTCTTGTTAACTCTGGTTCAGTAGGTCTGGAATTGTTCTGGATTTTAACAGATGATCCTCATGCAGGTGGCCCACAGAATGCGTGTGTGGAGGTGGGTAAGGGGGGCAGGCACAACGCTGATTCAGTTGTTCTTGGGGAACATGCCGGGGCATATGCCACTGGCTGGGAGTGAGACCACATGATCTCTCCCTTCCAGCTTGGACAGCTTATGATTCTCAGGGACAATTCCTCCTTCATCTTTCTTCACTCAAGCAGGAGCATTTCCGCTCTAATACCAACTTCTTGGCCCCTTCTCATTGTAAGACCTCATTAAAAATTCATTCATCCCCTCCCTCCTTTAAGTCTCAAGTAGTAGCAGCTGGGTAGTACATCATTTCACCTCTTGAGACCTTGCTACAGGGGGCAGCCTATACCCCAAGCTGCAGATTCATTATTTCCAGAGAAGCCAAAATCTGAATTTTAGTAAGAAATTGTTAAAAATTGAAATACTGGCAACTAATCCAATCTTTTTTTCTAAAAATCTCAGGGGCCAAATCCAACCGGTATGTAGAAGTAATCCAGTCCATTTCAGAGTCCCCTCCTTTTGCCAAGGAATCCCTCTACAACACCAAGAGCAGGGCAGGGGCAGCCTGTAGTAAGGGGGTACTCTCCCACTTTCTGTTGTAAAGGTTCTAAACCCAGGAAACTGGGCCTGTCTGGGTAGACTGTCCACAGCATCCAGGACAGCAACTCCAGCTTTTCATCTGGACAGCTGCTATGTGGGGTCAGGGACTCAGAATCTTAGCTAACAATGAACATCAAGTCAGCGTGGTCGTCTCAGGGTGCTCTTGAGTATTTGTGCTGCATCTTCTTATCACTAGTTCCTGGTCAGCTGCTAAACTACTCAGAGCAACCATGCCCAATGGCTACAGAGGGCCCGCTGCAATCTCCCAGAAAAGGAACAGGCTGATGAGCAGCCCTGTAGAGACGGGATACAAGCTAAGAGAGCAGTGGGAGAAGGGAGGGACACATGGCTGGGGCGGGGCAGGCAATCATTACAGTGCCTAGGAAGTAAGCTACACGCCCGCGGACAGACCACTGGGCTGCTTAGGCTCTCTGGCTGTGGTTACTACAGAGTAGCATTGACCTGCGAGAGACTGGAGGGGTCAGGCAAGGAAGCAGGTCATTTTGTGCTGTATTTCGCCTCCACCCAAGGTCACACACCACCCTTTATGAACACAGCGCAGAGGAGCTAGGGCAGTTCTGGAAGAGAATGTAGAGAACACAACAAGCAGCTGGGGTTTGAGGAAAGGCCAGCACATGCCTCTCGGGGATCAGGCTAGAGGAAGCCTAGTCGTGGGGCCCAGGCAGCCTGCAAGTTTGGTCTTCCCAAAACTTCTCCAACATCAATTCTTTCCTGATTTACCTGAGGTTTCCTTTCCTTCAGTTTGAGCCTTAAAACTTCCATCAAACATGTCTGTGCACGTATTCATGAGCTTGTCCTGGGTGCTCACAACTGGGACAGCTTCTTGCTTGGTGCTGCCCATGTTGTTGTTGTTGTTATGTGCCGTCGAGTCGGCCCCGAGTCATAGCGACCCCTCCTTGGGTTTCCAAGGCAGTATCACTACGGAAGTAGGATTGCCCAACCTTCCTTCCGAGGAGTGGCTGGTGGGTTTGAACCACCAGCCTTCTGGTTAGCAGTCAAGTGCTTTTAGCCACTATGCTACCAGAGCTCCTTGGTGCTGCCCATAGGCTGTGTGAATGGCCAGGGACCCAAGACATCCTATAAAGAGGGTTTTTCTGTGTGTCCCAGGAAAAAAAAATGCTCAAAGCCCAAATCACTTTATTATGTGGCAGACACAGTGGTGCCAGACCCTGCTTTTCCATGTCATCCTCCTCTCATCCAAGGTTCCACTGGCCTTGTCCATGTTTGAGTATCAGAAGTCAGTGTCCATTAACGCCTCCTGTTTTTTTCTTTTCTCAAATGCAGAGCAGGGGTCTGGGAATTGATGTGTATCTTAAGTCTGGTCACAGCAGGGGTGTGAGGTTTTTTTGAGGGGGGGCTTGTAATAAAGGGACAGAGGCATTTGCTGATTTTTCACTCTATGAACTGATCCAAGAACTTGAGGTAGGCCTGGCGCTGAGCAGCAGCAGCTGGAATGAAGTGGCCACCAGAGTGGGTTAGGGTGCTGGCCCCAGGGAATTGGTGAGCTAGCTGCAGACTTTCCTGAGAGGGGATGACACGGTCTGTATCCCCAAAAACATGAAGTGAAGGGAGAGCCAAGGAAGCCTTCAGGATGGGTTCCTTGAGCCTAAGGCCCCGGGGACAGAAACCAGATACCAGGATGATGAACCTTGGCAAGGGAAAGCGGGCATCACCAGTCTGGCCCAGGGCACACACAAGGGCTGCTAATGCTGCCCCCTGGCTGAAACCAAGGAGCCCATCAAAAGGCCCAAGCTTGTTCAGCGCTTGTGCCACCGTGTCCAGGGCTTCCTCCAGACCCCTGCACACAGTGGGTTCTTCCAGCGCGGAGAAAACAGCTGCCTCCTCTGAGAACCACCACCCACGAGGCTGCTCCTCTGAAGCGCAGGACCCTACAGGGATACAGATACGGGGAGAGCATGGGATCAGGCCAAGTGGAATCCAAAGAGGCGGGGATGGGGTTGGAGGGATAGCCTGGGAATGCCAACGCGAGAGAGGTACCTGAAGGGGAAAAAGGCATTGGGGGTACTGAGTGGGAGATCGCATTGGCATGAACTGGTAGGCAGAGTGGGAAGACATGAAGCTGCAAGTCTGGAAGGTAGCAATGAGGTACAGCGCGGGGCAGTGGGATAGGAGAAATGAAGAGTATGGAGAGAATGAAATGACCAAATAAAAGGTGCAGAGACGGTCGGGAGCTCGCTGAATGTTTAAGGGGATGAGGCAAGATGGAGAAGGCTGAGTGCATTTCCGGGGCAGGGCTCGTCTCACCGGAGTCTGGCCCAGCACCTTCGGGGTCCGCTGCCTCCGGGACCGGGTGCGGACCGCTGAGGCACACGAGCTCTGCGCGACCCCGCAGCGCTTTCCTCAGCGCTCCAGTTTTCTCGCGGAAGCCCCGCTCGCTCTGCCGGAAGCCCGCCAGGCACAACACACGCAGAGGTTGCCGTACTGCCATAATGCCCGGCAGAGCGCCACAGAGGCACCGGAAGCGGCCTTTCCCCGAGCGGAAGCTTGGAAGGGGAGGAACCAAACACCGGCACCACCCTGAAGGCGGACCAAAGAGCGAGAGGGCGTTCCCATGGCAACGAGGAGGGGCAGGGGTGCAGCCAGAGCGTGGGTGGTGAATACCTGGACTCTCGGAGGGTCTCAAGGAGGGGGTGGCGCCACCCCATCGTCTCTGCAATCGCACCCTTCACAATCCGCGGCTGGACGGGGACACGTGGACCCCTCCTGCACCTGAGGAGGCAGACTTTGGTTAGGGTCTGTCTTCTGCGCTGTCCCTCCCTTCGCTCCATTGCATTTCTCGTCAGGGCCGCAGGGCGGCGGCTTCGGCTCAGGTCGGCCAGACCTCGCCCAGGGGCAGCCACTCAGCTCTCCTTGGAGTCCTAGCCCACCTTCCCAATGGCGGGCCGGCCGGGAGTCTTGGAGGGCCGGTCCTGTCCGCGGTTCACCGTCCACGGCCCCAAGGAGCTGCCGGCGTAGAAGTCCATGGGGTAGGGCTGCTGCCAGGAAATGTCCCTAAGGGCCACAGCCGCCTAGGGGGATGAGAACCGGACTGATATTTACTAACATTTTCTGCACTTTGATTACTTAACTCAGTCCTCACAATGGCTTTATGAAGGTCCTATTATCCCCATATTACAGAAAGGAAATGTGAGGCTGAGAGAGGTTAAAGGACTTGCCTCAGGCCACTCAGTGGCCTAGCTGGGATACAAGGCAGTTAGACTTCAGAACCTATGAGTTTAATCAAGTGCTGCCCACCCACTCCACTCCTTCCCTTCACAGAACCAGTGGAAAGCCCATTTCTCCCAGGGGTTTTCAAAATGTAGCATTACCTCATAGGGTGTCAGCAGCGGCTTGGGGAAAGCTGTGCCCCAGTCAATGGAGAGACGTGGACATGCCACTTGTACCCACCTGGGAAGGGAAGCAGAACAGACCCTAGGTGGGAGCCTCACCTTCCTGGGCAAGGAGACATACTGCCGAACATGACTGTCCCCAACACACCCTATGAATGCTTACTAAAGACTGTCGCCTACTGCTGTTTAGAAAAATGATCCCTGTATTGTTAATGCTTGTCTCCTCTTTCCTTTGCTATGAGCTTTCTGAGTGCAGGGCTGGGCAGCTCCTTTGTGGTAGCATCCCCAGAACCAAACTTAGTGCCTGGTACCCCTCAACTGAGAACAACTGTAATGCTGTCATTACCTGTGCTCTAGAGTCAGACAAGGCAAGAGCCACCCATAGTTAAAGGGTAACCCCTGCTGAGCGAGCAGTTCAGAACATTCCAATTTCCTGAGCATGGAAGCAATTCACACGTCTCCAGCCTTGCACGTGTGCTGGGCAGGACCCAGCTTCTAAGCTTCCTAACCAGGCTCACAGCTACACAGGAAGGTGGGGAAACTTACACATCGACCTCAAGGAGTAGGCTAAGCTTGCTGGGGAAGATCTCTGAGAGCAGCAGCCTCAGGTAGGAAAGTCCCAAGGCTTGGAGCCGAGATTCTAAGTGCTGTTGGGAGAAGGGGGCAGAGTTGGAGCCACCATGATCAAACGGAGCCCCCCTGGCCCTGGGTTTTCCTTCAGTTTCCTCCTCCAGAAGCCATCCAGAGCCCTCTGACCTCCAGTATCTTGGGGCTGCCCTGGCGGCCCAAGGTGCCCAGGATGAGGCCCCAGGATTTAGCTGAGCGGGCAGCAGCTATGGCTTCTTGGCGGGAAGCCTGCATGCGCTGGTGGTCATAGTGCTCTCTGGACAAGACTTTGCTGTATGGGTCATACCTGGAAAAGAAGAACCTGGCAGGGTCACTGTGACAGCCACTCATAGGACTCTCACTTTATACATGGCTCCTGACTCAGCCCCATGGGCTCCTTCAGGTACCATTTATCCTGTGACTCTGCAGCTGCAGGTAACTTGAGGACAGAGGCAAGAGCAGGGATGGTCCTTGGGAAGCTCAGTCCCACAGCTGGGCCAGGCCAGAATGGGGGTGGGCTTTAGGATCTTATTGTGCATCCCAGGGGCTGGGGGGTTGCTGCTGCTGGTCTCATGCCCAGACTCAGGTCTAAGGGCCTCAGTTCCTCAGGGCTGGGGGCTGCTGAAGGGGCAGAAGAAAGTTTCTGCCAAGGAGGGCACAGTGGCAGGGGATCCCACTCCCTCCCAGCTGGTCAGCCCTGTCCAGCCCATACCGGTAAGCGGGGACATTGGGATTGGCAATCATGACAGACTCTAGATGGAAGCGGCCATCTCCAAGATACCTGCAGAGGATAGAAAGGCCATAAATGTTGTGTGGGGCCGAAGAGGCCCTCACCACCTTGGAGGTTCAGAGGACTGAATTCTAGGCTCACTGTGCACCTGACTATATGTGTGACTCAGGACAAGTCATCATGTCACTTCTTGGGGCTTTCAGTTTTCTCACATGTAAACTAAGGAGCTTGAACTGGATGACTGTAAGGTCCCTTTAGGTATGCAATGCAGAGTCTAGGAACTGCCTGCCCCAACTTTCCAGGGGATGAGTAAAAGGATGGCCAAGGCCATGCTAAGGCCTCCTGGAGCTGCAGAGATCCGAACTTGGGGGTGAGGGTTAGACTCTCCACCACCTAGCTCAATGTAGATGAGAACAGTATAGGAATAAAAAAAAAAAAAAACCTCACTGCTGTCGAGTCCATTTGACTCATAGTGGCCCCTCCTTGGGTTTCCAAGACAGTATCTCTACAGAAGTAGATTACCCAGTCTTCCTTCCGAGCAGTGGCTGGTGGGTATGAACCACCAGCCTTCTGGTTAACGGTCAAATGCCTTAGGCACTATGCCAGCAGAGTTCCCCAGTATGGGAATAAAAACCAAAAACTAAACTCACTGCCATGGAGTCAGATCCAACTCATAGGGACCCCTCCTTGGGTTTCCGAGGCAGTATCACTACGGAAGTAGATTGCCCAACCTTCCTTCTGAGGAGTGGCTGGTGGGTTTGAATTGCCAGCCTTCTGGTTAGCAGTCAAATGCCTTAGGCACTACACCAAGTATATGAACAGTGTTCTGTAAATGAGGTTTCACGGTATACACTGGCTACTCTCTACCCACACTAGGTCTCAGGTCTAGCTGTGACTGAGTTATACCAACAGCTACTATTCTTACTGGACTTGTGTCTCCTGGGTCAGGCCTGGACAAGTAATATGTATGACATCACTCAGTCCCACCAAAATTCCTCCAAGATACCCATACTTACCCTCATTTTACAAAAGCTACAGCTGAGTTTCAGGGATGTCAAGAAATCTGCCCAAAGTTACACAGCTATTAAGCAGTGTCTCTGGATCTGACTTTAGGCTTAATTACCACGCAGTAGCAAGCATGCTCTACAAGATGCTGTCCCTAACAGTACATCCCCCAGGCCAGGAAGAGTCCAGAGCATGGAAGATAATCTGCCTGTGGCAGCAATGTCCCTCCTTCTTGGAGACCTCACCTCATTCTGATGAATGGCCAACCCTCATGGTGGCCCTCCCTCCAATATATCTTGATGCCCCCAAGGGTGGGCATCTAAAAGCTCAGAGTCATGCAGGCACAGGGACCAGGGAATGCTCCTCAGGGAGCAGGCTGTCAGGGCTAGGCTGGGGAAGGCCCTGACGTGGGCCTGTCTAGGGGCAGGGGTGTCCTGTGTGGGTGCAGCCAGGCCTGTGGGACCAGCCTCCACAGCCCTGGAGATGGGCTGAGTCAGGGAGTGCCCCGCCCTCCCTCCCTGCCGTTAGCTGGGAACAGGGCTCCCCTCCCCAGTCCCAGCTGGGGGAGCTGTCGGCTCCGAGGCTGACTGCATTCACACAACATTAAGCATTTCCATTACCTAAAATAATTAGGTGGCAGGAGCCACGCTGCTCTTGCTTGTTAGCTGTCCGGATGCTAAATTAATGGGCCTGTAGCCTGGGCGTGCCCATCCATCTTCTCCAATTATATTCCCACCATTGCTAGCCCACCTACATCCCCTCATCAAGCCCTCCAGTTCCTGCCCCACCTTAAGCACAGCCTTCTAGGTGGTGAGCAGAGCACAGGAGAGGGAAGGAGAAAATGTGAATTCTAGTACCCATTCCGTCCCTAATTTGCAGTGGCCTTGGGCAAATGCTTAAAGAGCTTGAGACTCAGTTTCTTTTCCTGTATGATGAATCAGGCTCCCTCCCAGGGTTCATTTCTTATGCCTCCATGAGCACTCCCCATTTCTAACTTACACAATAGCCTCCACCTCTTGGGACAGTCGGGGTGATGTGCAGCCCAGAATCTCCCCAGGGGACAGGGGCTTGCACTGTGGGACATTCACACGGTACTCAGCTTTCAACTCTTGGGCAGCTGCCTGTAGGAATAAGGGAAGGGAAGCAAGAAGCAGCCTGGGGCACCTGGCATGGGGATCCAGGAATGACTGGAGACTGGCTACTATCTGCCCAGAGGATGCTGGACACCCTCTCGTCTACTCACCTGCAAGGTTGACACAAATTGAATGGTGCTGACCAGGGCAAGGGCACTGGATGGGGGAAAGGTGACACGGATAGAGTCCAGCAGGTGGGTGGTATCTATCCGGATGTCCACAAATACGTACAGCACTCGCAAGTCTTGGGCTGAGGTATCCATGGGAACTGGGAAGAGAAGAACTCAGAAGACTCTTTGAAAAGGCAGGAGGAGCAGAGGGCCTGACCTGGGCCAAGGTCTCTGAGAAGCCAAGACCACAACCTTAGGGTGGAAGGAGGGTAGGGAGGAGGGGGGGAGGGGCACAGGTCCCCTAGGACCTCCTCCTCAGTCAGGCTTCCTTGTCACTTGACCAGGGGCCCAGCCTGCTCTGCCTCCAACAGGCTTTCAAACACCCGGATCTGGGATACCAGCATGGTTTCTAAGGCAACCAAACCCAAAGGAAGGATCTACCTGAAGAGCAGGAAGGCCAAGGCCATTCCAGAAACCAGGAGGGACCTCCTGGCTACCAGCAGGGCAGGCAGCATGGCAATGGAGATTAGTGTACAGTCCTGCCCTCCTTCTAGCCCTGCCAGGTTCAGGTGCCTGGCCTGCCCTACCCAGACAGCTGTGGCCATAGTGCACCAAGAAGTCTGCTCCCAGGGCTCTGGCAGTAAAGTCATCCACACAGCAAGCCCCATAGGTCACATCACCCATCACCATCACTTCGGCCTCTGTGAACCTGAGGGAAGAGGGGGAGTAGGACAGTGATATAAGCAGGTGGGAGAGAGACTAACCCTGTGGAGGGGTCCCAGGGCCCAGCTCCTCTCCCCCTATCTCTCTCAATTCCTTAGTTTGGCAGCTGCCACTTCTGCCAGCAAAGAGTAGGAGGGGCCCAGCTGCTACCTCCCTTAGCCCTGGCAGCAGCTCCTGGAACAGTAGCTATACAAGTATGGTCTCTGTAACACCCTGACTCTTCTGTACATACTCAGACTGGAAAAGGGACCCCAACCTTCAGACTGGCACATACAGCATCAAACATAGACCACCAGACCCTGCAGATACCTGGACCCATCCCACCCAGAGCAATGAGCCCACACATGGGCACAGAGACAAAGGTACCTACTCCCACTCTCTAGCACTGTGGTGGTCTGTGGGGGCATGGACGTGTGGGTACATACAACCCCTCCTCTCACCTTGATTCCCTGTCATCTCCCCACCATTAGGCAGGGCCCTTAGTGCCCAGAATGGGGGGGAACCCATGCACAGCTCCCACACAGCACATGGTACCTCCCACCGGCCTCATGCGTCAGGAAGAGTGGGCTCTGGCCAGCACATTGCCACGGGATGCGCTGCCAGGCCTGAATCACTGGGGGACGGGGGTGGGCAGGGAAGACCCTTCGCCTCCTGACTAGCCACGGGAGCGGAGCAGGAGGACCAGTTCTTCCCTGGGACCTCACCTCGCTCAGTGACTAGAGTTCCCTCATTCCTAACCTAGGGGGTTTTCTGGAGGAAGTGGAGCTACTGCCAGCCAACCCCTCTCCTCCACCCCCTTCCTCAAATCAGGCTATGCACAGAAGTAGATTATTCAGCTCCTTAGAATGCAGCCCAGGCATCTGAGTCAGTGGGAGCACTTAATTTTTTATAGATTAAAATGTATGCAAATTGGCCCGAGCCCCAGAGAGTATCCCCAAGGGGCAAGAGGATGGGAGAAGGGAAGTGAGTCTGTGGCAGCATCAGGAAGGGCAGGAGCAGGGTGGGGGGAGGGCAGCAGCAGGGAAGTGGGAGGTTCCCATCACGGGGGTGACCTCCCTTCTCTTCATTTCTCTCTCCCTATTCCTGTGCTGCTTCCAGATGGTTGAGCACTGACTTCCCCCCTCCCCAAGGATGGCTCATTGTATTGAAGAAACTGAAAACAGGGGAGTGTAGGAACTGCATACCTTCTCCTGGGCACCCTTCCTGCCAAAACCATCCTTGCCCAGAATGTGTCAAAGATAAAGGTGCCCACATACAGTACTGTGTTGTCAGTGAAGGCAAACATGGGTACACGGGTGGATAGATGGGTGGACAGGCTGAACTATTAGGTATGTCTATGAAGTGGGAAGTGTACCCAAGACCATGTATAGGGTCGGCAAACAATGGTCCTATAAGTGTATTTGTATGATCTTAATTCTCAGGTATATAGTAGAGCTGAGAAGGGATAAGGCTGTAGTCACTTATTGGGCACAGCCAA